TTTTTGATACTCAGTTATATGAGCTGTTTGTATATTTTGAAAATTAATGCCTTATTGGTAGTGTTGTTTGCAAATATTTTCTTCCATTCTGTAGATTCTCTTTTCATTTTGTTTATGATTTCCTTTGTTGTGCAAAATCTTCTAAGTTTAATTAGGTCCCATTTGTTTATTTTTGTTTTTATACCCATTACTCTAGGAGATGGACCTGAAAAGATATTGCTGCACCTTATGTCAAAGAGTGTTCTGCTCATGTTTTCCTCTAGGAATTTTATAGTAGCCAGTCTTACATCTAGGTCTTTAATCCATTTTGAGTTTGCTTTTGTATAGGTGTTAGAGACTATTCTAATTTCATTCTCTTACATGTAGTTGTCCAGTTTTTCAGCACCACTTATTGAGGAGACTGTCTTTTCTCAATTGTATATTCTTGCCTTCTTTGTCACAGTTAAATTGACTATACATGTATGGATTTATTTCTTGTCAAGGTGGGCCCTTTTAAAGATGAGGGTTTATGACATTGAGTATGAAGTAAGACATGCTTCACCTGGGGTCAATGAGAACATCTGGGTACCTGGGGCCAACAGGAAGCATGGTGACCTCCAACACAATACATTCTAACCACCTACCTCCTACATCAGAGACAACAGAGAGGCTGGGATACAGAGGGGGAAGGGGGTCTGCCCCCTGAGCAAATGCACAGGTAGTGGCAGCACCGGGCTTCAAGAGAAGTGTCACTGCAGGTGAAGCAACAGAAAGAACAAGTCTGCAGGGGACCCAGGGATCCCCTCACTCGTGGGTTGGATATCAGAACTCCCTCTGTAAGCAGCTGTGATGGGGGAGATGCCCAAAGGGTCCCCAGGTGAGCTATGATTGGGAGAGGAGCCTGGTCGCCAGGGCAGAGGGAAGGGGCAAGCACACACGCTCTTTCTTCCGCGGCTGCAGCCAGAGGTGGGAGCCTTTGCTGCCACCACCATCCCATTGGCTGGAACTTGGCCACACGGGCGCCCCTAGCTGCAAGGAGGGTTGGGTCATGTGGTCCTTCTAGGTGGCCACGTACCCAGTAAAAGTGGGAGTCCCAGCGCCAGAAAGGAAGGCAAATGTTAATGTCAGGCGATCAATACCAGTCCTGCCACAAGGCTAGGAGAGAAGAGAAAATGGAGACCTCTGTCACAGATACGGGTCTGGGGGTTGAAATAACCTGCCCCTTCTGGGGGGAAAGATATGAAAACATCCATCACACACATGGTTAATAGCTTCATCAGTATCTCATCTCCTTCCTCCTTCCTAAGAGGAACACTTCTTTGGTCAAGGTCACAAAGTACTTGGTGACAAACTTCAATCTCCCAGTCTCCCCTTGAGACCATGGATTTGAGCAGAAATCTGCTGGGGATTTCTGGAAGAGCCTTCAACCTTCTGACAGAAATGCTCTCCCTTCTTGCTTCTGTGGTCGTCTTCTTCTTCCTCCTGGAAGCTCAGGAGTTTCTGCAAGTGCAGCAGCATCTGTCAACTAGGACAAGCAGGTATCCAGGGGGAGCCTGGGTCTTAATCATGACACTGAGCCCCTACCATCTGTGGACCGCCTACTGCAGACCTCCTTCTAGAGGGAAAAGCAAACCCTTTGTTTAGTTTGCTCCGGCAGCTTGGGGTCTCCCTGGCCTGCCTGCCTGTTTGCTCTCTGCCCTTGTATATTATAGGGAGGCTCGCTGGTAGGTGTGCTCTGCCCACATGTACACCGTTCATGGCTGATCCCACCGTCCCAAGAAAAGGCCCCTTAGGGAAGGAAGAAGAAACCCGTGTTCCGACAGTCTTTATCTTGATCCCTTATTGTAAATGCAAAACAACTTTCAGGGGATCTCAGGACATTTGGAGAAAACAAACAGCACAAAAGGCAAGGATCAAAATTGATAAACTGATTACTTTGAAATAAGCAGAGAATATTCAAAGAGGTGAAGAAGTATTTTCATTCTACTCTGAATCTTAGGAGGATTCAAGAGACTGTTGCATCCACGAGAGTAGGTTATTATGAAAATGGAGCAATCAGAGAAGCAGGAATCACGTTTGAGAATGAAAAAGAGGGTTACATTTAAAAATTTCCAAGAGTGGACTGAGAAATAAGACACAGCCAATGATGAAGTTAGTGATCTGGAGTACGGAATTGAAAAAAATCTCCCAGAACATAAAGAGACAAAGCTGGAAAACGTAAGAGAAAATTTGAGACAAGGAGGATAAATCCAGGAGTTTCAGCTGCTGTAAAATGGGATTTTCAAAATAAGAGAGAGAGTGGAGGGAGGAAATAATAAAAGAAATGAAAGGAACATTTCTGGGCACTCCCGGAAAGACTTGAGTCCTTAGGTTACATGTTTCACCTGGTTCCATTTACGATGCATACCCACAGACATCCAGGGAAATTTTAAAACATTAAGAATAGAAAAGCTACTCTACAGGCTTTTGGAAATCATAATTTTTAAAGCGATAAGTTACCAAAGATTGAGAACCAGATTAACTCCAGATTTGTCATCTACCTGGATGCCAGAGATGATGGCGTATGAACTCCATGTTCTGAGGGTAAAAGATTCTCAAAACAGGTATCTTACCATATGTGAAATAGATGACCAGTCCAAGTTCGATGCATGAAACAGGGCACTCAAAGCCAGTACACTGGGACATCCCAGAGGGATGGGATGGGGAGGGGGTGGAAGGGGGGTTCAGGACAGGGAGACACATGAGCACCCGTGGCTGATTCATGTCAACATGTGACAAAAGCCACCACAATATTGTAAAGTAATTAGCATCCAATTAAAATAACTTTTTAAAAATATTACATGAAAAAAAAAGTCTCAATCTAGGGTTCTTTATGTAGCCAAACCAAATAAAGATATTCTTAGGCATTCAAGAATTTAAAAATTCACCATCCATGTACTCTATTTGAAAAAGTTATCCAAGGATTTATATCAACCTCCTGAAAAAAAAAATCTAAGAAAGAGGAGAGCATATATATTATTTAAAAGTGTTAGTTGACAGTTACACAGAAGAGTCAAAAAGAATACTAGAAAGAAACTAGAAGACTGTGGGTTAGAACTGACACTTGGAAAATTCTCTTTTGAGCGGTAAACTTTCAGTGACTCGGAATCACATTTCGTTCTTCACAGATCCCTTCACACTTAATACTGTTTACTGGGTGATGTTTCAGTGTTGCTTTTTGGTTCACAGTTTGTAGAGTCAGCCTACTGGAAATTCTATATTTTTTCCAGCTATGGTTTTTCCAGTAGTCATGTACGGATGTGAGTGTTGGACCATAAAGAAGGCTGAGCGCCAAAAAATTGATGCTTTTGAACTGTGGTGCTGGAGAAGACTCCGGAGAGTCCCTTGAACATCAAGGAGATCAAACCAGTCCATCCTAAAGGAAGTCAACCCTGAATATTCATTGGAAGGACTGATGCTGAAGCTGAAGCTCCAATACTTTGGCCACCTGATGCAAAGAGCTGAGTCACTGGAAAAGACCCCGATGCTAGGAAAGACTGAGGGAAGGAGAAGGGGGCAGCAGAGGATGAGATGGTTAGATAGCATCATTGACTCCATGGACATGAGTTTGAGGAAACTCCGGCAGATAGTGAAGGACAGGGAAGCCTGGTGTGCTGTAGTCCATTGGACTGCAAAGAGTCAGACACTGCTTAGTGACTGAACAATTGACAGTTCAAAGAAGATTTAGTTCTAAATTCTAGAACAGAATAATGAGGAATAATAGTAACACTGAGACAGTATATAGCAGGCACTATTCCAAGCACTTAGCATGAATTAACACTTTTTATCTGCATGAAAACTTTGTGAAGCAGAGACTATCAACATCCTCATTTTTACCGATAAGGAACCTGGAACACAGAGAGGTTAAGTAACTTGTCCAAAGTCATCCAGCAAAAAGTGGTGGAGGTGGGATTTGAATTCAGATATACTGACCTCAGGGTCTGCGAAGTAAACTAACGTAACTAACATGTTTAGGAGGCAAGAGGTAACAACAGACTGAAGTCAGAATAACTGCACTAATTTCTTTATCTTTCAATGGAAGTAATTGTTCAATACTATCTAAAAGAATCCGTCTGCAATGAGGGAGACCTGGGTTCAATCCCTGGGTTGGGAAGATCTCCTGGAGAAGGGAATGGCAACCCACTCCAGCCTTCTTGCCTGGAGAATCCCCAGTGGAGCCTGGCGGGCTGCAGTCCATGGGGTCGCCAAGAGTCAGACATGACTGAGTGACTAAGCGCAGCAAGGATGAATAATCCAGGAGAAGTAGACATACTGTTAAAGGAAAACTACCATCAGAAAAACTAGAAAACCTGAGCCAAGAAGTGACGCCCCTGGGGAGGCGGCGGGAGAGGCCTCTGGAGGAAGAAGACCTCTCGCGTTACACTCTGCTTTTTGCGCTCCGCCCCCTCCCCTCCACCCCCCGCCGTATTTATATCCTGAGATATTACAGTTGTCTTCATGTTTGCAGCTAACACTTCTTTTTTATTGTTGAAAAAAATTGTTTTATTATGTATTATTGCCATCGTTTTAGAAACAAGTTCAATTTCCCCCAAATTAATTCTCTCAATGTGTTGCATCATCTTGACAACCCTGAGCGGAAGCTGCGCCTTTTGGAGTAACGCTCACGGTTGGGGGGCGGGAGGCGGTCTGGAGACCACCTCTGGCAGCCTGGAGACCACCTCTGGCAGCCTGCTCAGCCTGTCCACTCAGTTGTGTCCAGTCAAGCCTCCCTCCCACTCCCGGGAAAAGTCTGTCTGGCAAAGTCTTCCAAGTTCAGAACCTTGGCAGACGCACTTTTCCAGAAGGAAGCCCACGACCCCCGGGAAATGGCTGTTGGTCCCTTCCCCACAGGGCAAGGGTGTTGGAGGGCAGGCCCTGGGAGAACCTTGGCCCAGGAGGAGGACTTGCTGACACTGCGACTCTAGCCATCAGCGGGGGTGTTGGGGACATTTGCGACCACCGCGCCCCCCGCCCGCGCCTAGGTCTGGCAGCGTCCTCCGGCGCCCTGGAAGGTATTGGGGGGTGGCGGTCCGTGCAATGCCGGGGTCTCTTCACGCCCCCCCCCCCCCGCCCCGACTGCTCCCTAGGTCTGCAGCCTCTTGGCCTCCTGTGTCCCGCTCATCAGCGCCCGGCTCCCAGAGCCCGCTCTGGGGCCGCGGATCGAGCCCCAGCCCATGGAGGGCTCCAGATTCTGACCGAAGCGACTGCATCGCTGTGGTTCTCGCCGTGAGTCATGGCGGGTCTGCACCGCCTTCCTATCTGGGGAGCCGGAGATGCCTTTAATTCCCTCCAGCTGGGCCCTGCAGGGCTGAGGTAATCTGCTCTGGCGCAAGAGGAAAGCAGAGTTTGTTGTGTCTTTGTTTCATTCAAATGGCTTGGACGATGACTCACTCAATTTCTTCTCTCTTTCTTTTTAAACCAGGGCACCGTCTAGAAGTCGTTTCTGATTAGACGTTGACCTCAGAAGTATGCGCGCATCATTTTGAAAACATCCGCCGGCACCACAGAAACCGACCCAGGAGGAGAAGGGACGCGGCGGACGCAGGCTAGGCCCGGCGCCCTCCCACACGGCCTCGGGGCTGGGGGGCCGCCGGCCTCAGTCGACGTCAGGGTGCCGTCCCCCATCAGCTCCCCGGAGGCCCGCACGGACCTGGGGCCAGCCGGCGGCGACAGGGGCGATCGCCATCGTCGTGGTCGCAGTCGTGTGACGCCGGCCGATACTACTGAGTCATTGCAGACCACGCCGTTCTCACGGAGCTGGCTGTCCTAGCAGCGTCCTGTCAGGCAGGCACCCCTGGAGTGTGTGGTCTGAGTGGCGCTGTCGAGTACTTCTCAGGAGCTGGGAGGTCAGAGTGGGAGGTCAAAGCTCCCGATCCACCTGGGCGGGACTATCTGGTGGCAGAATCAGAGGTCCCATTAGGAACACAAAGCCCGAGACAGAGCCTGCTCAGCCCCGTGGGAGAAGCTATGAACCGGAGAGGTGGCAAAGGGCGGTCAGAGGTGGTGAGCAGGGCGTGATGGGGTTCAAGGTCAGCGGTGATAGGAACGGGAGCAGCAGGTTGGCTACACGGGCTAGAGAGCAGCAGAAAGCTGAGGCTGACCAAGGTCAGTTGTGTGCATGCATGCTCAGTCGTGTCTGACTCTGAGACTCCATAGACTGTAGCTCGCCAGGCTCCTCTGTCCATGGGATTTCTCCATGGTAAAAATAGTGGAGTGGGTAGCCGTTTCCTTCTCCAGGGGATCTTCCTGACCCAGGGATCGAACCTGTGTCTCCTGCATTGGAAGGCAGATTCTTTACCCCTGAACCCCCTGGGAAGCCCGACCACAGTCTTGGTTCTGATTATCTGCTGTCCATTCTGCCATGTGGTCTGCGAAGACGGGTGGGCATGAAACCTTCATTTCCCCGAGGGCCTGCAGGCTGTTGGAAGGGACCAGACTGGGAGCAGTCGCCTCCAACCAGAAGATTCTGGGAAGCTCCAGTGAGGGGCGACTGTAGCCTCGGTCAGGGTGGGGTGGGGCCTGCACAGGAGGGAAGCGAGCACCTCTGTATTTAGCTGAGACACACACCTGTGGGGAAGATGGTGGCTGCATTTGGCAGGGGTGTGGGCTGGGGGAAAGGGGGGATTCCAGGGACTCCAAAAGGTGGGATAGAAAATACTGCTCATGGTAGCAACGATGACTGACACAGCCAGAGAGGCCTGGAGTCCGGCATCCCTGCCCCGGGGAGAGGCAAGTGCCCCAAAGGCCTGGAGGGCCGAGCTGACCACCCCACCTGTGGGAGCAGTTCCTTGGATGGCGCCCCTACTGTCTGCATCTTGTGAGCCCTCCTGTGAGGCGTTTGAGTATTGATGAACCAGTGGCTAGTGGTCAAGAATCCTCCTGCCAATGCAGGAGACACAAGAGACGCGGGTTTGATCCCTAGGTCAGGAAGATCCCCTGGAGGAGGAGATGGCAACCCACCCCAGTCTTCTTGCCTGGGCAGTCCCATGGATGGTGGAGCCTGGTAGGCTTCAGTCCATGGGCAAAGCATCAGGCATGAATTAGCATCTAAACAGCAACAAACCACCTGTGGGTGGCCAATGTGTTTCTTTCCCTGGACTGCTATAAAAAATTGCCACAAACTGTCAAGCCTAAAACAACCAAAATTTGTTTTCTTTCAGACCTGGAGGCTGGAAGTCCAAAATCAAAGTGTCCACCAGGCCACGGTCCCTCTGATGGCTCCAGCTAGGGAGGTTCCCTCATTGCTTTTTCCAGCTTCTGGATGCTCCAGAGGTTCCTTGGTTCGTAGCAGCCCAACCCTAGTCTCTGCCCCTGTCTTCACGAGGCCGTCTCTGGGTCTCTCTGCCTTTTCCTCCTCTCAGAAGGACACTCAGCACTGGGTTTAGGCCCCACCCCCACCCCCACCCCCAGATAATCCAGGATGATCTTGAGGTCACTGATAATGCCAAGGATGCTTTTTCCAAATAAGGTAACTTTCACAGATTCCTGGTGGACACTCGTGGGATCTGAGGCGTGCATGCATGCTAAAGTCACTTCAGTCGTGTCCGACTCTTTGTGACCCCACTGGAGTGGGTTGCCTTGCCCTCTTCCAGGAGATCTTCCCAACCCAGGGATTGAACCTGCGAGTCTTACATCTCCTGCATTGGCAGGCGGGTTCTCTACCTCTAGCACTGCCGGGAGGCCCCATTTAACCTGTGACGGTCAGTAAGGCCTATTTCCCCCCATTAAGTGGGAGCTTCCTGATAATGGAAACTGCACCTCCCTTCCTTCCTATCTTCCTCCCTCCCTCCCCTCCTTCCTTCCAGAAATGTCGAGGGAGCACCAGGCACAGTGCTGGGCCCCGAGGAGACTGAAGCAATGCAAACATATCCATTAGCTGCCTTCACAGAGCTGACTTTGCAGTGGGGAGGCAGACCCAGCAGAAACAAACACTCCACAGGTTGCAGGTATTTCTGCAAAGGAAAGCAGGGAAGGGCAAAACCAGCAGGGCTAGGGGCTGACTAGGGCAGGATGGGTGGACCAGCTGCAACCAGGGAGGGCAGGGAAGGCTTCCTGGGAGATGTGACCCTTGGGCTGGACCCCAGATGCTGAGACGGACCAGGCTGGAACCTCCCCCGCACTTCCAGGCCGAGTGTGATCTTGGCCAGTTGCCGCACCCCTCTGTGCCTCAGTTTCCTCGTAGGTAAAGTGCTGGCAGCAACGACATGGTTTCCTGGAACCATCCTGAGGGCTCAGGGAGTGAACCCTGAGGTTCCTTCACAACCACAGCGTTCCTAGAACTTGCTTCATAAGCCACAGCTAATCCCGAGGAATACTTAAATGTTAACGTTCTTACACACAAGCAGAGCCGTGCGCCAAAAAATTTTGTTAATAATTAGAGGAATATTTATTTTTTAAAAACACAAAGACCCTAAAAGTAGTCATCATGCGACACCCTGAAACATCTTAGAGCCCCTTGCGCGCGTGCTCAGCCGCGTCGGTCGTGTTAGTCATCATGCGACTCTGCCACCCCGTGGACTGGAGCCCACCAGGCTCCTCCGTCCACGGGATTCTCCAGGCAAAAACACTGGAGTGGGCTGCCATTTCCTTCTCCAGGGGATCTTCCCCACCCAGGGATCTAACTCGAGTCTCTTCGGTCTCCTGTGCTGGCCACTGGAGCCACCTGGGGAGCCCCTTAGAGCTCCCTCCTCTTTCCTGATCCTACCTCTTTAAGAATGCGGCTTGTTTGAATCAGGTTGGAGGCTGGGAGAGAAACCCTATTTTCTTTAGGGTTTGGGGCTTTAAAACCTTCAGAGAGGCCTGGCAAATGTCCTGGGGGATGTTGGCCGGTGTTTTGGGCAGAGCGAGCTGAGTCCTTGGAAGCTCGGGACCGGCCAGCGGAGCTGGGGGCTCCTCCTACATCGTGTCGACGCGGCAGATGGACGGAAGTCAGGCAGAAGGTGGTCCTGGAGGAGAGATGCAGAGGCAGAGAGGAGGCCCAGGGGGAGCCCCGGGCTCAGGGCCAGCATCGCCTCCCGCCTGGGCCTCCGGGACGCGTCCCTCTAGGGGGCAGCAGGGCTCCACCCAGCGTCTCTGCCTCGGGAAACGCTCCTAGTCTTATTAACAGAATGTGCCCCAGTATCCGCATCAGGGAAATTTCTGCACAGACTTGGCCTTGGCTGGGCTCAGAGGATGTCTCTTTTCACCTTCGGACGTTTGAGGGGGAAATACTCATTAGGAAGAAAAGTATTTAATGTCACGGTAACACGTGAATGGTTCCGAAACACAGAAGCTGACAGCTGTACCCACTTAGGGAGCACGTTGGGGTTCCAGCTGGCAGGAGTTCACCCCCCTCCAGCCTGGCCTGGGAAAGAAGCTGGATTTCTAAGACTCATAATATTCACAGGGAGAAGACGTGCATTTCCGCACTAGTGTTCCTGGCCAGGTTCGGGTTTTTAGACCCTCCAAACAAACCTCCTTGAGCGGATCTCCCCCACCCATCCTTGGGGGCACCTCGCCCTCTTCCTCTTGCTGGGGGAACCAGGACAGCCCCCGGCTGTGTTCTGATGTAACCCTGTGACACTGTTGATCTGAGGTTCCTGGGCAGCTCCCCTCACGGTGTGACCTCGTGGTCCCTTCTGGGGGCAGGGGTTACAGGTACCTGCGTGGGGTGCACACGGACCTGTTCAGGTCCTACCTCTGCCACTTCACGCCATGTGGGCATCATCAGGGGCCCTCCTGGAGCCTTGCACCTGGCCCGCAGGGTGACTGTGATCCGGGCTTCTTGGGGTGCCAGGCACGCCCTGTCACTCACCGTCATGCCGCCAGTCACCCTACCAGCTCCCACCCACCTGCTTATCCAGCCTCCTTGCCTGACCAACCGCTTCCCTCCTCCGTGGCTCTTGTCACTTATGCCCATCCCTTCCGTGTCCACGGTTTACAGTCTGTCTCCTGCCGGAATGTGCGCTCTGCCCTGCTGTGTCCAGAACACACCCTCGGCGTCACTAAATACTGTTGAGTGCACGTGGAGCGAGTAGGCACTCTCACCCAGCTGCCCGGCCTCGGTTTCCCTGGGTGTGCAGTGAGGATGGAGCAACTGAGCCAGGTCTCCAGGTGCTTCTGGATGGATCCTGTGAGCAGACCCGAGTAGAAGCACCTGGCCAAGGCACTCACCAGATGCATGCTCACATCCCTGGTTGTCGGATTTCCAATGTTGTGTGTGGCTTTTGTGAAAAATCCTTACCGATGGTTCATTTTGTCCAAGCCAGTCATTTTCTATTTTATTTTATATTTGTTTATTTTCAGCTGTGCTGGGTCTTCCCTGCCGCACAGGGGCTTTCCGCTCGTGGTGGCGTGCGGGGGCTGCTCGAGGTGCGATACGCAGGCTTTGCATTGCGGTGGCTTCTCCTGTCGCAGAGCGCGGGCTCTCGGGCTCGTGGGCTCAGTCGTTGTGGCTGCCAGACTCCAGAGCACAGGCTGGGTAGTCATGGCATGCGGCCTGGTGGCTCCACTGCAATGTGGGATCTTCCCGGATCAGGGCTTGAACCCCTGTCTCCTGCCTTGGCAGGCAGATTCTTTGCCGCTGAGCCAGCAGGGAAGAAGCCCTGTCTGGGGCTTTATAAACAGTCAGGAGAATCACCACCCCCAGCTCCCAAGGGCAGCCACCATTTATACAGACTCACCTGGTAAGGCCTGTGTGGGGTCTTTGCACGTCGAGTGTTTCTGCACAACAGCTGGGGGAGGCCCAGGGAGGAGAACCCTGAGGGCCAGGGAAGTGGGCTCACGGGCCTG